ATTTATGAATCACTTTAGTAGACAGAAAGATTGCTTGAAAAGTGATGTCGAAAAGTCGCAATTAAAGGCATGAAAAGTTGGTTTGAAAGTCGAAAAGGTAGATGGCCAGGAAAAAAAAACGTTAGTTAAACATTTTGTTCGGAAGTTGAATGATTGATTTGGGAGGTAACGAAGTTTGTTTAATGAAATTGGTTGCATGTTCGGAAAAATTGAATTCCTCAAAAGTTACTTGGAATGCCCAAAATGGTGCATGGTGTGTATGAAAGTTTGAAAATTCAGCAACGTTGATTGGACAGTCGTACAATTTGGTTGGGAAGTCAAAAAAACCGAAAACCTTGTTTGGAAGTTCATTAAACAGTTGGAAAAGTTTGTTGGAAAGTCACCGAAATTGTTTTTATGGAATATATTGGTTGGTTTTATTGGAAAAAAGTTGGTTGGAAAACCTGTTTGTTTGAAAGTCGACAATGCTGGTTGGAAAGCCGAAATAATTGTTTTCAAAATTTGCTGGAAGATTAAGTTTGGTTGAAATTAGAAAAAGTTTGATGGAAAGTGGAAATGCTTACACTGAAGATCAAAACGTTTGTAAGATTCTTTTGCAAATGAACAGCCAGTCGTGAAAGTTGGTTGGGGATTCGAAATAGTTGATTAGACAGTCGACGTGGAAATGGATTGAGAAGTCAAAAAAGAAAGTCGTGAAAATTGGTTGTAGGGTCGAAAACACTGGTTGGACAGTCGTGGAAGTTAGTTGAAAAGTCAAAACAGTTTGTTGAAATGTTGACAATATTGTTTGGGAAGTTGGCAAAGTTGCATGAAATGTTCAGTTGGATGTTTGAAAAATGTGGATGGTCAGTCGAGTAATTTGGTTCGGAAAGTTAAAATAGTTGGTTTGACAGTCGTGAAATTGGTTGCGAGATCAAAAATGATAGTTCGATAGTCGTGAAAATTGGATAGAATGTCAAGTAGCTGGTTGGAAAGTCTTGAAAATTCGAAAATGTTGGTTGAGAAAGTCAACAAAATTGTTCAAAAGGTAAAAGGGGGTGTTTGGAAAGTTATTGGAAAGTAGAAAATATCGGGCGGTAGTCGGTAAAGTTTTTGGAAGGTTGGACAAATTTACCGAAAAGTCGAAATGAACAGCTGCAAGGTCAACAAAGTTTGTTGTAATGTCGAAAACGTTGATTGGTCAGTTCTAAAAGTTGGTTGGACAGTCGTGTCAAAAGGTCAAAAACGTTGGTTTATAAAGTTAAATATGTATATTAGAAAGTTGCAAAAGTTACTTGGAAGGCCAAAGCAGTTAGTTCAGAAAGCCAAAAAAGTTGATTGGACAGTCGTGAAAGCTGTTTGCTGGGTCAGAAACGATGGTTGGAAAGTCAAAAAAAGTTGTCAATGGTTGGAAGGTCGAAAAAGTTGGTTAAAGGATCGACAAAAATGTCTGGAAATCGGTTCGAAAGATGTCGTTAGAAAGTCGAAAAAGTTGGTTACAAAGTCGAAAAATTGGTTGTAATATCAAAAACGTTGCAAAAGCCATTGCAAAAGACAAAGTTGGTTGGACAGCCAGAAAAGAAATGGTTGGAAAGTTGAAAATGTGGTTTGGGATTCTTCAAGGACGTATCTTCGAGAAATAAATCAAATCTTCCAGTAACGCGCCAAAACGTCTACAAATGACCCGCCCCTCCACGTGATGATTTTGATCACAGTGGTCGTCATGATAAGCCAAACAATGTAATTTGGTGCGATGGTGTACGTCGCATGGACCTATAACAAAAACGACGCGACCGGACGACTATAACGCTGAGCCCGGTCTCAGCAAGGTGTCTCTCATTTTACATGGTATGTACGTGTCTGCTCCACTGGTATATAAAGAATTGATCGTCGAACTTCAATGTGAGTTGGGTTCCAGAGACATGATTAGATCATGGAAGGTAACCTTCCATGATTAGATTAAAGTTGAAATCAGTTTGCGTATTTAGCATTCAGTAAATACCAATTTTTGTTTGCAAGGGCCCTTTACAAATTATTTTTAGCTAAATTTGCGATGCAAAATTATATGTTTTGGATGTATCTCGGGCACTTATTTGATTTATTTCAACTTGCATCGATATCCTCTGAATATAAAACATTTCATAAAAAGTTATACTCACTTAATGAGTTCATTCGCATATTTAATTGAAACTACGTATATTCAATATCGCTGTGGATTATTCTCCCGAATTTGAATGCGATTGTACTTCAAAACAATAATTGTCCTCATTTCTAAAAAAAAAAATCAATTTTTGCATAACTTGTTATTAATCTTTCATTTTTTTATTGTCTCTTTTTCCCCTAATATTTTTCTGCATAGGTGTTCTATCAAATGGACAGCGGCGAATTACAGGGTACCAATTTGATCTTGGTGGACGACCTTGGTGTGTTATTCCTCGACGTGAAAGGGCGCCGCCTAGCGGATGGGATTGACGTTGTTGTTTGCGCATGCTCAATAAATCGCATTCCTCTTCAGTCTTAGGACGAGCAGATACTTGGGACTCACCGAGCAAGAAAAGAAACACTGCATTCCCGCAGAATTGATTTTATAGGAACCTGTTCCATAATAATACTTATTCAGAACATCTCAAGCTACCTAAAACACAAGTATGTCCTCGTACGATAATATAAGTGACGGCGAATACTCATCGACAGTTTACACGATGGTAAGTGTCATGACAACAACAACACTCGCTAAGGTTCTCGTATCTGGTATTGAGGCTGATATTGAGGGGCGGTTGATGATGAGGGGGAGTCAAAGATAGTGCGAGTTATGTCCCAGTATGCGAGAGAGATGTATAATAGAAGCCTAATAGAATTATTTTATGTCGTGGGTGCGTGATGTGAAGCCTCAAACGTCCCAGTCACAGCACTGAATACTTGTCAGATTGTACAGCTAAGCTCCATGGATTGTAAGTTGATTTAATCTAATCATATTGTGACTCACGGAGCTCAAGAAACATGGGTGCTAGTGTCTAGAAGGCCGGAATAGAGCCAAAACTTTCCTGTAATAAAATTTTGGTCACTAAACTACATTTAATAGTAGTCTCTATGTCCATGTGTAGCTTGGAGGATGTATTGACACAATAAAATCTTCATTCAATCATTGCATATATATTTACCATGACATAAAATTTTATTTTATAAATCTTTCCTGACCATATAATAACGAATATAGAAGCACATAGGCAAATAATGTACCAAAGTGTGTATTATATAATTCACTGTTAATTAATCACAATGACAGGAAATGTTAGTCCAGCAGTGGTACTTGCAATGTGGGTTTTTTGTTTTATTTTGTTTTTTGTCGCAGCAGTTTGTAACTTAAAGAGCTTCTATTCTATTGTAAAAAACTTATTTAAGATACCATTATATACAATTATAATTTTTTTTTCAGATCAAGGAAGGCAAGTACACAGATGCTATCCAAATATTGTCGAGTGAGATTCAAAACCATCCAAGGGTTAGTTGTACTTATCTTTTTTACACCACAACCAAACAATATATACTGTATAACTGTTATTCTGGTTTGCGCTTCATAATGATATCATCATGTGTATATCACACAAAGCATTGGACAATACTACTCAAGAATGTGTGGTTATTCTGAGGGATACAGTCAATTATGCATGTATCGAGTAGTTTAGCAAGCGTCAATATTTAGATATACACATGAATGTTGTACGTAGATAGATACTGTCTGAGCGTTATATTGTATTACGATAGCTTTCAGCTGTCCATTATACACTGTATGGCTTTGCTCCTTTTTTGGAAATTGTGCATCACATGTCCAAAACATTTGAATATTTTCTTTTGAGTACATGGATGCAGCGACAATGTAGCATTTGACAGAAATAGAATCATACCACAAATGCAAATGATCATACAATTACGCTGTCATTCTCGTCGTCACTAAATGACTACTAGGTGGGAAAGATTATATCAAAAAATTAGAAAGTATGTACTCAGGCAGTATGAGATTGCGTTGACCTCTTGTATGCCCTATAACCTTGTTACATTTGCATATTCGTGGTTTGAGTGTTTGTGGTGTGTGCGTCTTCAGGACTGGGTAAGATGGTGATGACACGGTAGACTTTGTTACTACCGGTAATGTGATATTGTCATCATTCCTTATATGGAATTCAAGTTTCCTAATAAGGTTACTAGAATGTACATAACTTTGTCGATAGCGCACAAAAGAAGAGTACTGTAACTTGTGGAGATACAGACAAATGTAATAATCTAAAAATGCAATAAATACAAAATATGAATCGATGCAGAATTCAAATTCAAGTGTCCGATGAAGTACAGTATATTGCTTTAAAAAAAATTGAAGCAAATAAAGATTTTATTTAGAACCTTCGCGAAATGTTATCTTTGCAAATGCTCTCAAATTGAGAAAATATCTACGAAAATGTATGGTTTTACAGTAAAAAGCTTTTTATACAGCTAGCATTCATACAATCTCAAAAAAAAAAAAAAAAAACTGTTTCTCATTTTTTTTTCTCACCAGTCTCGTGCTGCTCTGTCTTTGCTTGGTTACTGTTACTTCTATATGCAAGACTTTGTGAATGCCGCCGAGTGTTACGAACAACTGGTACAACTCCATCCGGAGAATGACGACTACAAGATATACCACGCACAGTCGCTGTATAAAGCATGCATGTACCAAGAAGCTATGAAAGCCACATCTCAGATTGAAAACAGCTCATATGAAGCAAAGGTAATGATCTACAAATAACTGATATAAGGTGATAACTGTTTTATCACCTGAACAACTCAGGACTGTCAAATATAAGTTCACAAATCATACGTTAATTAGGCATGACCTCTGTACATCAAATTTCAAGCCAGGGGTCTAAATTATCAGTAGTTTAAGTCTACCAATTCTTGTTCATGAGCTACAATTTTTCAAAATTAGTAGGCTGGACTACTAGAAATTTTCAAATACTTGAAAAATGTCTCTCCACTGATACCAAAATAATTACCGGTTACAAAGTGAGTTTGTTATTTCCATGTGTTCACAATTGTTCCCATGGCTTCAAGTACAAAACCACTATTCAGCATATTGTGAGGCTACCAACTTTTACAATTAGTAACCCATTCAGGCTCCCAATGAAAAATGTTGATTTTGAGCTCTGTGCGTTCCTGGAAATATTACTGGTATTATGCATTTTATTCCTTGTACAGTTGAGTTGAATCACTGCAGTTATGCCATCAATATTGGTCTCACTTGACACATGCAACATACTTAAATAATTGTTTTTTTACCCTATCATTATGGCACTTTACAGAATGCCATTCATTTTAATAAATCTGATCTAAATTATTTCTTGTACAGATAACCAAGGTACAGGCAGCTATCAGGTACGGTGAAGAAGATTTACCCGCAGCAAAGGTAAACACTCACTCCATTGTTATTGCATCGTGTTGAACATTTAAACTGTTTTGATTGCCATGATTTTAGCATTCACAGAGATGTTTACCTGTACCAGAGAGAATAGCTCTCCTGTAATTTAATTATTTCATTCTTCAGTACATTGTCTTCTGATCTTTGTTGTACATCTCTCCATTCTTCATTGTATTGACAGAGTTCATCTGATCAGTTTCTGTCACAGGTTAATTTGAATATTACAAATGTGCATGTACGGTGAACACTTGAACATCACCAGTGCTGAACAAATACTGAAAGACAGATTGTATTGGCCTCACCTGACCAAAAACAAAATATATTCTGCTTTGTTTTCTGCAATGTTTTGAGATCACTTTGACATTTACACTGACTCTTCTATAAAAATGCCAGTACAGCACCTTTAAAGCATTGTATTGATTATTAGACCTTCTTTTTTTCGAATTTGTCAACATTTCCATTGCTGTTTATCACATTTGCTGAATTTGTATAAAATATGTAAACAGATAAAATGTGAACTATAAATAAAGTATTTGAAAAAAAAACTTGTAAACCCAAGATTCAGTTTTAAAATGTTACCTTTGGTAATCAACTTGCAAAATGATATTCCTGTAGAATCATATGTATGTCTTACTTTTGCAGTCACTGGTAGAGCAATGTCCCAGTGATGATGCCGACACAGAGGTCAATATGGGATGTTTACTGTTTAAAGAAGGCAGATATGAACAAGCTTGTCATAAATTCACTACTGCTATGCAGATATTGGGATATAAACCAGGTATGTTTATATCAGATGTTACAATTCATATCACAACATTCTCATATCTCAATTCTTATTTCCAGCATTTGTTCTCTGTGTGTGAAATGTGCAAGAGGTCAGTGAGGTTTCTTATTATGCATCTGTGACTGTATTACCTTAAGTTACAGCATATAATCATTTTTCGGTATTGCACTGGGTACCTGCATCTTACCTTATTTATTTAATTTATACAAATTCCAAATCTGCTTTTAAAAACAAAGTTTATAGCAAAAAAGTTCCAATGACTTTCACCATATTTCTCAGTTCTGGGTATCCTACACAAAGCAGTTGGATCAGTAAGATGTATTGTAATAATGTTATCACAAAGATACTGCAAAGAATGCACTCAAACAGTACATGCAATAATTGCTCACTGGTTTTTAATTTTACTTTTTTAAGTAAATCTGCTAAATTAAATAAACATGAACATGCAAAATAACACTAGAATTTATGGTTTCTCTGCCGAGTTTGTGAATTTAAAACCAAGTGAAATTGCTAAAAGCATCAAAATAGTCAAATTAAATACCAGTGAAAATAAA